AGTGTCTGACTTATGCCTTTTATCTGGACTATTTGCTGTTTTTTTTAACTCACTATCTTCTGGTGCTTTGCTTGGAAGTAGACTTCAATAGTGACGAGGCTGACAGGTGTATCTATTATCTGTTTGGTAATTTGAAAGTTTGCGTAATGTGTTGAGATGTGCAAATCTTACTTTTGTTTGGGAGTGGCATTTCCACAGTTTTATTCCATAACACAAATGATAATAAATCAGTTGGATCTTATGCTGTGTGGATAGGAACAGGTTAATATTGAGTATGGCCAATAGATGGGTTCTGCAGTTGCTGAAGCAATTCTTTCAGAAGTTCATGCCTCATTTTATGCATCACTTCAACCCTGTCAATGCAATGTATGTTAACTTGTATTTGACCGGTGAAAGGGCAAGGTTAACTTATCACAAAGGTACTCTTTGGCAACAAATGATATTGTTCAAGCAGTCACCTTAACTGTGTGCCTGACAAATTACATGCAAGGACATTAGATAGGTTTCTGCTGCTTAATGTGACACATCTCCATGGGAACCTCTCTAAGGACAGAGATGGTCAGGCAGATTGTAACTGGTCACTCTATCATACCAAGTGACAAATTCTAGATGAACATGACCTTTTGAACTCTGTTTTGTTGACCCCAGGAAGCCTTTGAGTATCTTTGAATCTTAGAATATATCCTTTATCTCCTGGGGCATTTTCATCTTGAGCTTTTGCAATTAAATATTGCTATTGTGTGAGATCAAGTAACTTAGTCATGAATTCTTATTTTTAATAAATATTAGGTAGTATTGCAACTGCAGGATGATTTGATTCCAACACCAAATCTTAATGGTCGGTTATTCATCAAGCAGAAGACTGGCTTCTTATTTGAATGGGGTGGTTCAGTCTATGTTGGGTTATCAAAACTTGACCACTCTTTGGTTGGCATTGATCATACTCAGCCACAGTGTTTGAGATGGAACTCCTCTTGCTGAGAAAGTGATTTATGCATTTCAGTATTTTCAATCAGTTATTCTTGGGAGAGGAGAGCAGGAGTGCCAGGCTTAGGGCTTGCAGGTTAAATGTACCACATAAAAAGAATTATAAAGATAGCTTGATAGGGGTAAAGAGAAAAGGGTGAGAGAAGACTTAACCTGGGGAATAGATGGACCTGTTGAGCCAAATGACTGCTTCCTGTGCTCTAAACAATGATTTTTTTTTTTTTAAGACAACCTCCTTCTTATCCGCCTCACATAAGTTGACTTCTTGGGACTCCAACTTGTAGATTGAAACTTTGCACCCAGGGAAACAGCCTCTCAGCATCTATGCTGTCAAGCTGTTTTAGAACTTTTTTGTTCCAATTAGATCACCTCTCATTCATTCCTGTGAATTCCAAACAGTATAGACTCATTCCACTGGATCTGTGTTCCTTGGACAATTCTGTTATCTCAGAATTGATCTAGTCAGGCTTCGCCTCAAAACTAAGTCTGTCATCCTATAGGAAGGGGACCAAATCTGGACACAGTACTGCAAGCATGGTTTCACCGAAGCACTATATCATTTCAGCCAGGTTTCTTCAATATTGCACCAACCTGTTTCACCTCCTTACAATAAAGGATACCTTAACATTTGTCTTTCTAATTCCACATTATACTTGCGCATTAACTTTCTGTGACTTGTAAGCAACATGTCCCATGTGCTGCTGCACGCTAAAGTTTCTTTGTTTCTCACTTACTAAAAGCTGAAAGTGACTGTTCTTGACATTTGATTGTGTGGCATCAAAGATCCCTCGCAGAACTGGAGCCAATGGAAATCCAGGAGAAAATAATCGCCCCTGTTTGAGTCATACCTCGCACAAAGGAAAATGGTTGTGAACATTGGAGATTGGTCATTTCAACTCGAGGATGTCATTTCAGGGGTCCCTCAGAGCAATGTTCTCAGCCCAAACATCTTAAACTGCTGCGTCCATGAGGTTTGTTCCATCATAAGGTCAGAAGTGGAGATGTTCGTCGATGATTATATGATGTTCACTATTCATGATTCTTGAGAAGCCCAAACAGTTTGTGTTGATATGCAGAAGGACCTGGATGACACCCAGGCTTGGGTTGATAAGTGGCAAATAACATTTGAGCCACACAAGTACCAGACAATGACCATGTTGAACAAGAGAGAATTGATGCATTATCCTTTGACATTGAATGGCATTCCCCCATTGTCAACATCCTTGGGGTTACCATTGACCAGAAACTGAAGTGGACTTGCCATATAAATGCAATGGCAAAAGAGCTGGTAAGAGGCAGGAGTATCTCACCTCCTCACTTCCCTAAGCCGACGAGTCACAAGTCAGGAGTGTGGAATACTCCTCCATTGCCTGGATAAGTGCAGCTCCAGTGACAGTCAAAGCTGGACATCATCCAGAAAAAAAAGCCCACTTGACTGATACCACATATACCACCTTAAACATTCACTGCCTCCATCACAGAAACACAGGGGCAGTAGGGTGTACCATCCAATAGCTACCTGCAGAAACTTACCAAGGCTCTTTAGACAGTACCTTCCAAACTGATGACCTGTACCACCAAGAAAGACAAGAGCAGCATCTGCAAATTCCCATCCAGGCCACTCATAACCCTGACTTGAGAATATAACGCCGTTCCTTCAGTGTTGTTGGGTTGGGACCCTGAAACTCCCTCCCTAATCACAATCTGTGTGCACATATGCATTATAGATTTCAGCAGTTCAATATGGTGGTCTCCCACCAACTTGTCAAGAGCAATTGAGCGTGGGCAATATGTTCACTCAGGCAGTGATTTCCACATCTCATAAAGGCATTTTACATTATAGCTGGTATTCTTTTCTATTCCTCCAACCAAAGTGGCTAATTTGACTTGTCCCCACATTTGTACTTCTAGACCACTCACCGGACTGGTTTTACCTTTTTGCAGTTTCCTTGTGTTCTCCTCACTGCTTAATTAACTTTGTATCATTAGCAAGTTTGTCTAGATAACATTTTGTCCCTTATGATATTATTGATGCAGATGGTAAATGGCTAAGGCCCAAGGTTTGATGCTAGCGATAATTTGTTGCCCAACATAAAGTTCAACTATTTATTCATATTCCCTTTTCTGTCCTTTGAGAGTGACCTTTAATTGGTGGTAAAATGGAGTAATCAAGAGAGATGTGTGTTCCTGCTAGTAAACCCATGTGATCTGGTTGCCTGGTGATCTGGTGAAAGGGATCCATCTTTAGTCATGTTGAAAGTCTGGTCCTGGGTTTAATACCTAGAAACGTGACGTTACTGCTAAATAAAAACCGAAAGAACTGCGGATGCTGTGAATCAGGAATAAAAGCAGAAGTTGCTGGAAAAGCTCAGCAGGTCTGGCAGCATCTCTGAAGAAAGAAAAGTCAGAGTTAACGTTTCGGGTCCGGTGACCCTTCCTCATAATTGTATTAACTATGATTTTTCTTCACAGAAGCTGCCAGACCTGCTGAGCTTTTCCAGCAACTTCTGTTTTTGTTCATGACCTTACTGCTGTCAAGTTAACAGGTTTGGGGACCTTTGACGGTGAGGGAGGGAGATGCTGTGTAAATCACAGCTATGAGAGCACGGTGCTTATGAGAGTCATTTTGTTTTCTTCAGAAAGAAGTTAATAGAACAGATTCGAGAACCAGGCAATCACCCAAATGGGCCTTGGGGCTATAAGTCAGCTCTGTTCTGCTCAAATTGAGCGAAGGGGATTTGTTTAAAAGGAACTTGCCCTGATGTGGCAGGGAGAAAAGAGCCCGCTGAGATTCTAGAACAAATTTGGATTTAAATTTGGGCAAGACAGTCAGAGAGATCAAGAACAATAGGGCATTTGGGGTTGCTTCTGTTAAGGAGGCAGGAATGGATGTCTTCATGAGCACTTTGGAGAGTGCCAAGAGAGGCAGAAATATTTGGTTTTACATGTGTTCAAGGCTACTGAAACCTGGAATGGTGGCAGTAGCATAAGAAAATATGAGTAATGGTTATCTTAAGAGGAATTAATGGTTGAGGAAATTGGATTGTGAAAAATGCAAACATTTGCTTGGCTGTCTATCTTGATCCAGAAAGGCACCTAACAAATAGACTATGCAGCACTGAAGTGGAGACCAAGGATCATTAAGGTGTTAAATTTCACCTTCTCAGGCCATGATGTTCTATCATGCTAGGCTTGTGCTACCTGTTGTGACCATCAATCAGGGAATGAACAATTTAATCAGCCACACTCGGAATGATTTCTTACGCTCACAAACCGTACATTTAGGTATCAAAGGTGAGATTTTTGCTCATTCTACTTCATAGTTTTCAATACTTCATTATTGGCATTAAAGCATCAGCCCCAAATTACAATGTAACTAGCGATGCAGCAAAGAGAGTTATTGAGAGCAATGTGAATAGACCATTTAACATGACCGTTTGCTTCCACGGCTTTTGAATAGGAAAAGCAGAGTTAGACATGCATGGATTCAGCTGCATGCATGGTTTCAATGATGTTAGACATTGGAAAAAATGACACAGATGAAGTACTTAATTATGCTATAATTCTCAACCACCATATTTAACTATAGTTTAGATAATATGAAAGTGTGCATTAGAATGAAGTGAAGAAGACGAATATGTTGATAATCATTTTGAGATGGAAGAAAATGCTGAGCTATATCGTCTGCTCATCCCCCATTTGACCACCTGGACGTAATTGATAATTTATTATTTAATTTTTTTTTTATTCGGATACAAGTTTATGACCACACACAACTTAAATATATTATCAAGACATTTTTAAGAAACTTTAGCCAGAATTGAGTAGAACAGTTTGCTGGTCTACTTACGGTATTTATTGTGTATATTTGTTTATAATTTAAAATGATCTGATGTCAAGTTCGTTTTGACTTTAATTCCATCGTGCTTGAGAAGCTTAATCAAGATTTGTTTTTTGGAGACCCAGCTGATGAAGTATTCCTTCTGTCAATATCATATTTTGTTTTTTTACAGGAATCCCCCACATCCTTTTGTTTTTGTTTTGGAAAATAGACCTGACAGCTGGCCCTTCCTCCTTCAGCAAATAGCTTCTATTTTTCGACAACCTTCAAAGAGGTAAATGTGAACTTTCAGAAGTTTAATATCTGTTAATCAAGAGCAATTTCCTGTACAGCATGTAATGGTTAGTAAAGCAGTTGCATTAGGTACAAGTAACACTTTTAAAAGATAGCCACATTGCACACTGCCTTAGCACAACTCTTGTGCTGTATCAGAGTGGTGTTGGATGAGTATGTGTCTGTGCTTCTTCACTTGCTGAACTTTTGCTCCTGGCTTGCTCTTTTCTGAGCAAGTTCTTGAGCTCACAGTACCTGGAGGATGGGGAAGGTCAAACATCATAGTGAACCTGTCTCATTCCTCTCCTCTCAATTGATTGCAGTGTGCCATTTCTAGAGGTGTAGTCGCATGTCTTTAAGTGGAGGAATATTACGTGTAGTGTAAGGCTGATTATAATAAAGGAGAAAATTGCATACACACAGCAAATAGATGAAAAAAAAACTTTAGTCTAGATCTAGCGGTATTGTTTAAATTTTCTTTGACCCTTTATAAAAGGTTAAACGCATCCATTGTAGTAATGATGGCACCATTCTTCAAGTATCTGTACTGTGAACCTTCCTGCCTACGAGAGAACTCTGAGCTTCGTCTTAGTCTTCTTCAGATTATACTTCAGAGCCGATCTGCAGAGGAAAAGAATGCACCTCCTCTGTTTACCCAGCAGGTCCTCCGTCTCTTCTTTGATCTTGTTCCGCATTTGCAGGTAAGACCTCTCCACACCATTGTAGAAGTTGTTAACAGTTGATTATAAAAATTCATTAGATGAAACACTTTGAGTGCCCTTAGCAGCATCAGCTGCAGTCACCGAACCCTACCAAGTTGAAAACTTTTTCCTTTAGATGAAAGTATTGCTTAAATTAGACAGCTTTTCAAAGTATTTTTATTCTCAGAATAAGATAGGCAGATTATCTATAAATCTATTCTCACAATGATATTATTAAACCATTAACTCTGGATTTTAGTATTCATGAGCGCTTTCTCCCTTTCACTCTCACACACTCTCCTCTCCCTTTCATTCTAATTGCCCCCTTTCTGTCTGACTCTCTCTCTCTCTCTCTGACCCCCCTTTCTTTCTTACTCACTATCTCTCTCTCTGACCTTTCTTTCTTTCTTTCTTTCTTTCTTTCTTTTTCTCTCTCTCTCTCTCTCTCTCTCTCTGCCCCCTCCTTCTGTCTCTGTCTCTGTCTGGCCCCCTCCTTTCATCTTCTTGCCTCCACTCACTGCCTTCCCCCACCTCCCTTTATCTCGCCTCCTGTCTCTCTACTCTCCTTTCTGCTGAAACTAAATCAAACCCAACAGTTTTGAACTCAGGACCACACACAGGGAGCTACTCACCCCTATAGTTAACTTCACGTTGACCCTTTTCGTATTGTTTAGCTTTGAGCCAACTTGATCCCGTGATCAGTGACTGTAAGCAAATAGTTTGACCAGAAATCATCTCTCCAGGAAACCTACTGCTTAAAGGGACCATTACCACAATATTTAATATCGCATTTCCTCGAAAGCACCTGGGACTTCACGAAACAAACATTACAAGTGTCTCTACTCAGCACATTTTGGAATGTCGACCAGATTGTCACCTTGTGTGATTTTATTGTACTGATATAAAGTGAGAGCTTGAATACATTTATACAGCTGCAGGAGATGTTACCTGTCACTTGACAGGTTGTAGCCAATCTTGGAGCACACTTAGGTGGTTTACACATGGCTGTTAAGTAGCTGCTGGATTAATCATGGGAATAGTTACTGTCAGCTGCACTCCAAAGTAGAGATTTTGTATGATGCATACCTTCCTTACCATGGCAGGATTCTCAAGCACGACTGGATTAGTCTTGCTAAGTCTGTTATGCTGTCATCTAAATGTTTTATTCTAACTGCCTTTTTATTTAATTGACACATGTCAAAACTCTGTTATTTCAATGTAAAGTCACCTTGTAGCTTCCTTGTCTGTAATGTCGAACACAGGCTACTAAGTACTCTTATTGACCCTTGATGGAATTCAAATCCACAACCTTTGCTGCCCTAATTTACCCTGAAATCATTATGAGTTCGAGTTTGATTTGTTGTTGTCACATGTACCAAGATGCTGAGAAAAGCGTTGTTTTGCATGCTATGCAGGCAGATCCTAGCATACAAAGTGCATCAGGGTGGCGGAACAGAGTGGAGAATATAGTGTTACAGCCGCAGAAAGAGAGATCAACATTAACATTCACATTCGAGAGATCTGTTTGAAAGACTGATAACAACGGGGTTGAAGCTGTCCTTGAATCTGTTCGTATGTGTACTCAAATGTTTACATCTTCTGATTGAAGGAAAAGGGTGGAAGAGAGCATAAACAGGGTGGAAGTGTCTTTGACTATGTTGGCTGTTTTCCTGAGGCAGCAGGAAGTGCAAACAGAATCAATGGATGGAAGGCTGCTTTGTGTGATGGTCTGGACTGCATTCACAAATGTCCCTAATTTCTTATTGTCTTGGGCAGAGCAGTTGCCATTCCAAGCTGTAGTGTGTCTGGATAGGATGCTTTCTATGGTGCATTTTTGAAAATTGGTAAGACTTATTGTGGATGTGCCGAATTTCCTCAGCCTTCTGATGAAATAGAGGCTTTGATGTGTTTTCTTGACTGTAGTGTCAACGTGGATGGGCCAGGATAAGTCATTGGTGATATTTACTCTGAGGAACTTTATGCTCTCAACTACTTCCACCAATGGGGCGTGTCCTCCACGCCGCTTCCTGAAGTCAATGACCAGCTCCTTCGTTTTGCTGACACCGAGGGAGAGATTGTTGTCTTTACACCGTGCCACTAAGCTGTCTATCTCTTTCCTGTGATAGTAGGAACTGCAGATGCTGGAGAATCTGAGATAACAAGGTGTAGAGCTGGTTGAACACAGCAGGCCAAGCAGCATCAGAGGAGGAGGAAGGCTCACGTTTCGGGCCATTTCTGAAGAAGGGTCTAGGCCCGAAACGTCAGCCTTCCTGCTCATCTGATGCTCCTTGGCCTGCTGTGTTCATCCAGCTCTACATCTTGTTATCTCTATCTCTTTCCTGTACTCTGTTTTGTTGGTGCTTGAGATCCTGTTCACTATGGTGTCATCAGCAAATTTGGAATTCATACCTTATGTAAGTACATCAGGGTAATAGAACAGACTGCTGAATATAGTGTTACAGCTGCATAGAAGGTGCAGAGAAAGATCAACTCTCATGTATGAGAGGTCCGTTCATAAATCTCATAACAGTGGGGGTTAGGTGTTCTTAAAGCTGTTGGAATATGTTTTCAAACTTCTGTATCTTCTGCTGACAGAAGAGGGTGAAGAGAGTATAACTGGGGTGGGAGTGGTCGTTGATTATGTTGGATACTTTTCCAAGGCAGTGGGAACTATAGATGGAGTTGATGGAAGGAAGGCTGGTTTGCGTGACGGACTGGGCTGTGTTTACAATTCTCTAATTTCTTGTAGTCCTGGGCAAAGCTGTTGCCATACCAAGCTGTGAAGCATCCAGATAAGAAGCTTTCTATGATGCGTCTGTAAAAATTGGCGAGAGTCATTGTTGACATAGATCTATTGAGGCATATTTAGCAGGGAGAAACCAGCTAGCTTAGAACCTGAAAAGATAGTTGTAAGTTGCCCTCTTAAATTGTTGCCATCCATGTGCTGAAATTAAATAGTCCTTCAAGAGTATAAAAATGCCTCCACTATCTAATTCCTCAAACACGAGGACAGCGTTTCCCATGTAATGGCAGGGAATTTTTGCTAACATTACCTAAGTAATTACATCGAGTGTAGGGCTGAGAAATCCTTGCCCAGTGCCTGTTTTTGAATAGGGAAAAGGCAAAGATATGACTGATGTGATCCTGTCAGACAACTTAAAGAACTATACTGGGAGTGATATTTGGACCCATGTGTTTTTGCTGATCTTTCAAAGTCCTTAAGTCAGCAGAGGACATTTGGATATTACTGGGCAAAATTGATTATCCTGAAAAGTTCATCCAAATGATCCATAAATTTCACGATGACACAGCAGCCAAATTCATGGAAGCTGGTGAAGTTTCTTCCTCTACTTCCTGACTGTAATGGAATTAATTAAAACCATCAGGGAAAGGAACATTCAGTGACCTGGGAGCCAGTAAAACCTGAAGTCATAAATTACTTATGAGCAGAAGTAGAATCTCAGTTTAGAATGCATTTCTTCAGAAGCAAATGTCCAGGGAACCTACAATGGATGCTATTGTAATGAACACTATGATATTGCTTAAATATAAATCAGAGATTGAAATCTGAGATGCCGTTGATAGGATAGTAATTGCCTGGTTAAGATCTTCTAGCATCATGCATGTGTGAAGGAAATACGTTTAGCTCTGACTTCACAAGTCTGTGGAAGATGTGTTCAGGGTGATGACTTTTTGCTTGTACAGGTGTGTTGATAATATTGGCAAAAAAAAACTTTGTTTCGAAGTTAGAGATACTAAGAACTGCAGATGCTGGAGTCAGAGATAACACAGTGTGGAGCTGGAGGAACACAGCAGGCCAGGCAGCATCAGAGGACCAGGAAAGTTGATGCTTCGAGTCGGGACCCTTCTTCAGAAATGGGTGCCGACCCGAAATGTCAGCTTTCCTGCTCCTCTGATGCTGCCTGGCCTGCTGTGTTCCTTCAGCTTCACGCTGTGTTATCTTTGTTGCTAAGGTATTTCTGTCTTGTGCCAATTTAAGTCTTGTCTCTAAGAAATTAATGGCTTTATTCTGTGTTTTAGCTTTAAGTTGAGTGTAACGGTCATGTTGATTTGAGGTCACTGGTAAATTCTTCTTGTTCTGCTGTGTCTGAGTTCAAACACCGTATACATCGACACAAGGACAGAAAGTAATGTGTGACTGCACCCCAAATCCCCACAAAGCAAGTGCCCTGTTTCTAGCATATGCAGTATTTTGCTGTTTTTATTTGCTCCGTTTGTAGCTGTGGTTAATTTCAATTTAAAATGAGGAGGTGTTTATCACTCTGTTGAAAAGTATATCTTTTTGTTAGCTAAGCCCAATTGAGTGGATAGCAATGTATTATTGCAGGTAAATGGGTTGATGCTAATTTAGCATCTACCCTCATTTTTTAGACTTTGCAACTGAAACCAGGAGTTTTGCAAGAACATAGTAAATCATAGAACTGTAGAATCTCCACAGTGTGGAATCAGGCCCGGCGAGTTCACACCGACCTTCTGAAGAGCATCCCACCCAGACCCAACCTATCCCTGTAACCCTGCATTCCTCATGGTTAATCCACCCATCCCTGGACACTATGGGCAATTTCCCATGGCCAATCCACCTAACCTGCATATCTTTGGACTGTGGGAGGAAATTGAAGCAACTGGAAGAAACCCACGCAGACACGTGGAGCGTGTTCAAACTCCACACAATCGCCGAGTGTGGAACTGAACCCGGTCCCTGATACTGTGAAAGCAGCAGTGCTAACCACTGACCCACCGTGCTGCCTGATATCACTCGAGTTGAAAGCAGTTTCATTTGTACAAGGGATTATCATTTGTGGTGCTTGTTGTAAGGTTTGGACATTGATGCAGTCCAGATATTGCAGCGTCCATGATCACACTCCCAAGTACTCACTCAATTTTGCGTTGGAGTGTCAGCCTTGATTTGTGACTTGAAGGCCTAGAGTGTGACTTGAATCACAACCTTCTGTCTCCAATGAGAGTATGAACGACTAAGCCGCTGCTGTGAGCAAAGTAATAAACTTCTCTCGTGCAAAACTTGTGTCACTAAAGATCTTGGGCACTAAAGATTTCCACAGATTTTCTATGATTCTCGGAAAGCCATCAGTTGCTTTCTTAAAAACCAAGATAACATAATTTTAACGAAGTACAAACCATTCAGCCATGATGTTTTTGAATGTTGGAGCAGACTTGAAGGGCTGAATGGATTCCTGCTACGACGGACTAGCATGTGGATGTTTGTTGCCATAAATCTTTCTGCACATGTCTAGAATAATCATGTGGCATTGGTTTTAAAAAGGTTTTATTTATGTGATGTGAACATCCCTCATTGCCCTTGACAAGGTGATGGTGAGCTGGCATTTTGAAGGACTGCAGTCTATCTGGTGTGAGGACATCTTTCGCAGTTTGATATGTCAAAGTTGTCTGCTTGCTTATTTTAGAGAGCAATTATATGCTGTGGGTCTGGAGTCACATGCAGGGAAGACCAAGTAAGGACAAGTGAGAGGTCCTCCACGAAGAACGTTAGTGAAAAAGATGGATTTTTATGACAGTCTTGTAGTCTCTTGAATGTTTAAAAGACGTTTGGATAAGTACATGAATAGGAAAGGTTTGGAGGGATATGGGCCACTTGCAGACAAGTGGGACTCGTTTAGTTTGGGATTATGATTGGCATGGACTGGTTGGACCGAAGGGTCAGTTTCCGTGCTGTGTGACTCTGAGTGATAATTTTATTCCAATTGAATTCCACCAGTGGTTGTGATGGGGTTTGACTTTCAGTCCCCAGAACATTTGTTCAGACCTCTGAAATACCAGTCCAGTAGTAATGTCAAAATCAATGTTGTATTTCTGTTTCCTTTCCACCAGGTAACCAGTTTGGCACAAGTTACAGAAGCCACAATATTTCTTCAAGAGTTGTCATTAGCTTTCCTCCAGCATGCTCATTTTTGGAAATCTGAGCTCGCCCAGCTATCTCTGCAATTGCTGTGTGTTTGTGAAGTTAGCCTGAAAATCACTGGAGAGCTCTCCTCACTTATTCATCAAATTCAGATGATTGTCAACAATGTTCCTGATGTAAGTAGTACAGGTGGTGAACTTACAAGAATTGTCGCACTTGACATTAGTTGTGACAGCTTATTGTGAAAAGTGCAGGCGAGTTTCATTTGTTCCATGTTTAAAAAAATCTGGGTTGCAAATGTAGAATGGTAATGTATCCTCAAATTTGTCTCCTCCAAAGCATGAAACTTTCCCCTTGTGAGTAACAGCATCCTCCCAACTTCATGGTGCCTTAAAATGCTTGTAAAGCTTAAAAAAAAAGTGAGAAATTCTCAGCTTCTCTGGAAGCATCTGTGGAGACAGAAACAGCTTATGGTTCAGGTTAATGACCTTTCGCTGGAACTGGGCAACATTTTTATTTCCGATTTCCAGTTTGCTGCAGAATTTTGATTTGTTTCCCCTTAAAATGTAGTTATAGAGTCATGCAGCAGAGAAATAGACCCTTCAGTCCAACTTGTCCATGCTGACCAGACATTGCAAACTGATCTAGTCCCATCTGCCGGCATTTGGCTCATATCCTTCTCATATTTCCTACTCATATACCCATCCAGATACCTTTTAAATGTTGTAATTGTACCAGCCTCCACCACTTCCACTAGTAGCTCATTCCATATATGCACCACCCTCTGTGAGAAAAAGTTACCTCTCAGGTCTTTTTTAAATCTTTCCACTCTCAGCTTAAACCTGTGCCTCTAGTTTTAGACTCCCCCACCCTATGAGAAAGACCTTGGCTATTCACCCTATTCATGCCCCTTCTGATATTATAAATCTCTATAAGGTCACCCCTCAGCCTCTGACGCTCCAGAGAATTTAGCCCCAGCCTATTCAGCCTCTCCCTATAGCTCAAACCCTTCAATCCTGGCAACATCCTTGTGAATCTTTTCTGAGCCCTTTCAAGTTGAACAACAGCCTTCCTATAGAAGGGTGACCAGAATTGTATGTAGTTAGGGCATTTATTTTTTGTGCACAGTCCCTTTAAATGTTTTGCTTGGCTGCACACTAGCTATTTTGTCAGACTGAGGCGTGCACAGCACCTATCAGCCTGAGATAGTAAGAACTCCGGATGCTGGAGTCCGAGATAACGCAGTGTGGAGCTGGATGAACACAGCAGGCCAGGCAGCATCAGAGGAGCAGGAAAGCTGACGTTTCAGGTCGGGACCCTTCTTCAGCCTGATGTGTGCCTGTATGTTCACACAGCTTAGTGCTTTATGCTGCGTAAGTGTGTTATGTCATAGGTAGAGCCTTCCTCTCTATATATAATGTAATTGAATAAGGGTTTAAATTACATTATTACTTCCTCAACAGAAATCACAACTGATGAATTAGGGCTGCGAAAACTTCAGGTTAGTTCAATTGGCATTTCAATTGTCGGGTCATTTTACCCTCTGTACATGTCACATATGGAGCCCATTGGCTTCACATGCCTGAGACATTAATATCTTGCAGTCTCCTGCTGCTAGACCACTAACTTCATGTATTCTGGAAAGCAAGATGCCTGCCTCTCCAGGTCCTTGGCTCCAAAACAAATGACTTTAATTAGAGAAGGGGGACTGGTTCTGAATTGAAATGTACTTTAAAAAGAAAATCAAATCTATTGCTCCTTATCAGTTGACATTCATAAAACAATTGTTGGCCAACCTCCAACCTTCAGATCTCAGTAACTTAACTTGTTGTTTCCTCAAGGCCTTCTGCAGTCTCTGAATTTGTTTGCTCCTGTGTGCCGTTATCTGCAGAAGCATCACTGGATGTTGAAAAAATTTAGTCACGTCCCTCATGCCAAATAGTTCATATGTCCCCAAAAGCATAAATCTCCTTGTTTTCTCAATGTGAATTCTTGAATTATAATGCATGGTTTTTCAATTGTTGAACTGTATATTAGAAACTGAGGCACATTACTTGCCTCATCCATCGGAAGAAGTTCATATATTTTTCCAACTTCTTCATCTTTATATCAGACAAATTGTCACTGAATCCATGGATGACAAACGTAGTGTTTTATAAAGGTTCTGTCATAGCATTAGGCAAATGGATGGAAAAGTTTATTATGAGAGAAACTTAAAACATATTCTTCTCTCCAAGTGAGCTTCAATTTAAAAAGCTTCACTTGCACTAAAGAAGGAAGTGGGAACTTAATGGTTAAAAAAAATTGCTATTAGGGGAACTTAATGGAGTTGATTTCTCTGTTTATGCATCCCTTTGATATCTGAAATTATGATCGGTTTTTACTTGGCTCTAGTTACTGATAAATCAGTCAAGGAAGTTCTTGGAATCATTCTGATATTCTGAATGGACTGCAGACTTGGTGCATTGTAATCATTTTAATCATCATTTGTGTTCTGGTGCAGTATGATGTATACACATCTGCTTTTCTTCAAAGTCTGTTTTCTTTAAACTGATCTGTTTGTAGAGTATTCCTGCCGAAGAAATGCTTGTGGGACTGAGCTTACTTCTACTACAGACTCCAGTGTGCCAACAAGAGCCTATTTTGAACCTCGGTAAGCTCGAACTGTTATACAATACGCTTGTGCATGAGGAAGAAACAAACTCTTTTCAGGCCTCAGGATTAGTCTGCGAAATCTGAACCAAAATGATTGTTGATAAGAAACATTGTGAGCCCAAATTATGGATTGTAAATTGGCTGTTGGTGTAATTTTTGGCACATTCAGGGTTGTTCAGCAATTACATCTAACTGCACATCAAATCTTAGATATTGTGAGACCACAAGTCAATGCAGAGGGGTGCACCAGTGACAAGGAGAACAAAATTAACGAATGTGCACTATATTGACAAAATGCATGCTATTCTTATAGACAGATCCAAATTTACAGCCATTGGACCTGCTGCTAAGAATGATCACTACTCAGGAGCAAGTCACAAGAATATTTGTTTGACTTGCATAGCAGTGACAATCTGCCTAGTGGGGTAATTGAGAGCACATGTCCTCACAAATCACTACACTTATGTATGTATGGACGGCCCAAGGCACGCAAATGTAACATCTCGTCACACCCAATTTTATCTGACTGGTTCTGCACACCATGAATTAGCAAACTGATTGAGACCAGTTGGATTGAATTTTCCACGTATATGATGAAATATTCCTTCCCCTCCATGCAACTGACATACTGATGACATTTGTGAGCCTATTTACTTAGTGTGCCACTCAACAAGTCAGCGACATTAGCACCATGTTATTATATCATTAACAATCTAGATGCACTGTTCCTGTCTGAAACTGGACTCATTGCATTTAACTGCATGGGTTGCTACAGTTGAGTTCAGCTTTTATGATACTGTATGTGCCCGACTGGGCTTGCCATGGGATCCATTCTCAGCCCAACTCATTTTTGTCAGTTTGCAAGTGGTTGTATAATTTCAATGGAACAAGCCCTCACCTTGCATGTTTATAATACGTTTATTATATTTAAATCTACAACTGTGTGTCCTTACACATCTAATGAACTGCATCCAGTGCTCGGATTGAAACAAAGTCGTCTGACAAACCTCCTTTCCTTGATGTGGTGATGGGTTCTTGACAGTTATCTTCCACAAGCTTACCATTTTGATCAGCGTCTACGTTGTGATGTGCTGTTAACTGTGTGATCAGAGGGACAAAGAGTGACCTGCAAGGAGGTATGGTAACATTGCAGTGAAAAGGAATCTTCAGTGCACAACAACATGAGAGAAATCAGATATGACTTAAGTCAGAAATGATTATGTCAAAAAACCGTTGAAAATGCAAGTAAACTTGAAATTCAGGATGACCTTCAATGAGAAAATATTCCTCCATTTATTCACAAGAGATTAGCAACGTGCTTCTTCCTGGGAAAGATATCACAACTTTAATTAATTATTTATTAATTACACTGACTAATTACTTCCGTATAATGAAAATGCAGTCCTAAACAGCGTGATTGTCTCAAAATAAGCAAGTCCCCAGGGACAGTTGATATTCAACCCTGTAGGATAGGGGGCTGTAGGGAGTTGCTTTCTGTGGTAATGGCACAGGGAGGGAGTTTAACTTCTGATGAAAGGTAATAGCCTGAAACATAGCTTGTTTCTTTCTCCACAGATGCAGCCACACCTGCTGAGTATTTCCAGCAAGCACCTACTGTGAGGGCAAGCAGTAGTTTTACTTCAGTTAGTATAACTGAAAATTCCTGCTTGTACTCAAGTAAGAAAACAGCTTCATTTTGGTCCTAAATAAAAACCAAAAGAACTGCGGATGCTGTAAATCAGGAACAAAAACAAAGTTGCTGG